TTAGCAAATAAAGCCTTGGTTGCACTCCCCGACTTAGCCTTTACTGAAATGGTAATACGTCTTAATTTGATTAAATACAAATCATTTCTCTCCTTTTCCCTTTATTTTTCCTGTTTTAAATGTATTGTAAGTGCATTTAGATGTGATGCTCTTAACGATGTCTCCTCTTTTGTAAATATTCTCCCTACCCTTTAATTTTTTACCAAATCCTCAAATTCACCTCTCAAATAGGGTAAAAACAGATTTGTACTTAAAATAAATATAAAAATAAATTATCTTTTTAAATTATAAATCGAGATAAAAATAATGTGTGACATTAAAATTCTATTTGTCATATAAATATTTTTTAACAAAAAGTTAATATTAAAAAATTAATGATTTGTCTCGATTTATAATTTAAAAAAATAATTTATCTCTATATTTTTTTAAAAAACAAATCTGTCCCTACCTTCTATCTGAAAAATGAATTTGAGGATTCTGTCTTAATTTTCAGTGTTGAGGAAAACAGAGTCTAAGGTCAAGTTTGAAGATGCTGGCATTTCTCACGTTTCAATTTTTAAGACTCGTCAAGTGCCAATTCTCATAATTTATGTCCTAAATGATTTGTTAACAGATTTTTCAATTAGTGTGAGCACGTGTGTATATAAAACTTTATAAGAATTGTTTTTGTTAGTTATGTTTAAATTAATTATTCAATTAATAAATTTGATATTGGATTTTTTTAACCCTTTTATTTATAAAAGTTAATAATTAGTAGTTATTTTTTAAAACTAAATCAAAAGAGCAAAAAGGGCCCAAAATTGAACGTACATGGGTTTTTTTTTTTTTTTTAAATTTTAAACTACACAATAAAAGCAATCTTTTCCTTCTCTGAATTTTTTTTTTTTCTAAATTCTTTATAAATTTTCAAAAAACCCTCTTTTACACCAGGCTGCATATTTTTTTGGCCTTTTGCTCAATGCTCATGCATTTCAATTTAAATCCTACATTTTCTCCTCCAATTGATAGTAGTAGTAATGCAGTACCCCATTCATTTCTGTCTCTAGGTGGTTTCGATCCGTTTTACATCTATATGCATGTACTTCTTCATTTTTCTTTCGGGTTTTTTCTTTGTTGTTGATGTAGGACAGCAGATGCAGTTGAGGACCAACTTGGAAGGAGACAATTTTGGCGATCTCCTCTTATTGTGTTTTTATCTTTACATATATATTAATTCAAAATTTTTTATTTTAATTAAAAATACAGGTTTTATTCACCGACATTTTATTAAAATGTTACCTATATTTTCTATGAAAGATGCCATCTTTATAATCCATAGACTATTGCACCTGCAGTTTCAGCTGTTTTAGTCGGATGAACTTAAATTCATAATTTCAATCAAAATTTAAAATTACAGTGTGCAATCCTTCCTTTTTCCTCACATACTTCCTGTTTAAAAAAATAATAATAATAATCCATAGACTATCTGCAGCTAGCTAGCAGAGCTTTTTTTTTTCTTTTTTTCTTTTTTTTTGAACCGTAACTGAAAATCTGACACTAGCATTTAGGAATTAGGACCATTTTTTTTTTTCATTATTGGTTTTGTAAACTCTCTCATTTGGCATTGGATTCCGCAGTAGATATTTTGTATTGGTACGACAGGTTAGTCTTCTATGATGATCAAGTACTTTCCGTAGCCCCACTTTTTCTTTTCGCTGCAGCCGGTACACTGTGCCGCTTAACTCGTAATGTCGTTTTCTCTGTTAAATTTCAAACTTCTACTTAATTCGCAGTGTAATTCCATCTTTCTAATAATATCCATTATTTTGTTTTTGTCTTTTTTGTTGAAAATTTTTATGTAAACTGTTCGTTAATTATAGTTGATTTTTTTTTTTATCAAGTTTACAAGGGTGGGAATCGATCCCACCATGGGAATGGGGAAAATGCACTGCAAGGCAACCCTAAAGTTGTTTGGCCCTTCGGGGTCAAGTGCAATTATAGTTCATTTTTAAAATTGAATCAATTGAAAATTTGATAAAATTTAATAAAGTGATATGATTCAAGTGAATTTAAGTTTTATTTTAGTTTTATATGAGGTGAAGTAAATTTAAATTTTATTTTAATTTTATATGATGTGATATGAATATATGTAGGATTTAAAATTAAAAGTGAAATGTCTAAAAAATTATTATAATGAGTTAAATACTCTCCCATTCAAAAACTCTTATCTCTATGAATATGGGAGTTAAAGAATGATATAACCCATTAGTTATTATTATATAAAAGCTAAATAAAGTGAAGAAAACCTAAATCTCAATACTAATTATTTTTGTTTTAAATTTGTTATAAAATCCAAATTATAATGATTCTTGAAGATCTTTAAAAATTTTTAGATAATATATTAATTATAAAAATTCAAGTACATAATTTATTTATTTTAAGATTTTATCTTAAATTCTACACATATTGATCCTTAAAATTCTGACATTTCTCCCTAGTTGACAAGGCAGATAGCTTAATCACGATACTTAATTAAATTAATTTTTTTAAATATATCAAGTTGATATAAAAAATGAGTTTTAAGATGGCTTAGAGAGATTTTAAATACTAAAAAAAGAAAGAAAGAAAGAAAAAAAGAAATGGCAACTTAATCTCGTATGAGGGAGGCAAAAACCCTTCTTAAGCTTCCAAACTTATCTCAAAATAACATTTAAACGCCTAAGCTAAATATGAAGGAAGTATGTCCTCCAACTCCACTAACGATGCAAATAAATCTTTCTACTCTATTTAATATCACTTTGAAAGCATTAACACCCATGAATGAAAAGGGCTTATTTGCATTGCTAGTGGAGTTGAAGGGCTTATTTGCTTCATTTTTTAGTTTAGGGGCTTAAACACTATTTTGGGGTAAGTTTGAGGGCTTAAGAAGAGTTTTTGCCTTTGAGAGAGGGACGAGAAGGGAGAGCAGGGCTTCAAACTGCCATAATTGTGTTGTGGGCTGGTAGCCTTGTTACGAGTAGAGCTACTCTTGGTTCTAACAGGCTTTGTTTGGGCCATCACGCTTTAAAAGGAGTTGCATATTAATTGGTTTTTTATGGGCTCGCTTAAACTATATCAGGCCTTGGCCCGTATCAAGGTCCATTCTCATTGTAAGTTGTAAATTGTAACTTGTAACCAACTCAAGGTATCTCCCAAAAAGAAAAAAATAGAGGAAAAGAAAAGAAAAAAGGACAAAAACTTTCGCTTCATTCGAACTCGTGTGCCTTGGACCGTATCAAGGTCCATTCTCATTGTAACTTGTAACTTGTAACCAACTCAAGGTATCTCCCAAAGAAAAAAAAAGAAAAGAAAAGAAAAGAAAAGAAAAGATGAAAAGACAAAACTTTCGCTTCATTCGAACTCGTGACATTAAATAACATGTCCAAAAATCATTTTAAAAAAGCGTTTCCAGTTTCCACATTATGCCTGCCAGTAGACTGCAACCTTCTCTAGCGACAACTTGGTATTATTTTAACCTTTATAACCACTATTGTACTTGCTTCGCTCCTGCTTTGAAGCTT